TCAACAGCCGGCAACGTTAAAGTCAAAGCGATGCCGAACAAGACAAAGAAGAGATCTCGTAGTCCCTCTTCCAACCTCAGCTGAGTGACTTTTTGGATGTCGGTATAGTAGTTTGAGACGTATCACTGCTTGAGCGTATTCAGTGGAGCTGCTTGCAAAACTTCCTTGGCCCCACATCGTTCTGCGTCCTTGAACCAGTGAGTGCGAGATGTCATGACCCGACCCTTGAACCAGTGAGTGCGAGCAGTCTTGAGTTCTTGCGGCATTTGCAGTACTTGAGCAGCTGTTTGCTTTTTGTAGGATGCAGGGAGGAGATTCAGCATGCGATCCGTTTGCTGCACTGCAGCGATGGATCACCTACACCCAGAACGAGTTGATCACCGTGCGAGGTGATGTGCGACTTCTTCGCGATGAAGTCTCTTCAGTACAAAGGATCCAACAATCACAACTCGACGTGCGGACCACCCAAGTGAGAGACACGGAATCGCAGATTTCCGATCAGCAGAACTTTTTAGCAGACTTCGACAAACAAATGACGTGCTGGGGAACCTTTTGGCGGACATGAACACAATCCAGAACACTGTCTCACAGCAGCAGGCTTCTGAGCTTCCGCCCACGCTGCCAGCTGAAATTGATCTCACAGACTGAACGTTGTCTCGCAGTGCCTGACAAAACATCGGATGGAAGCTCGAAAGTGCTGTAATCGAGGAAATGTCAGGTTGACTGTTGAGCGTTGCTTCATGGCTTGTGATGCGACCTCTCAAGTAATGTAGCCTTCGCCCAGTTTTGTGTGTAGAAGTCACAGCATGGAGAGAGCAATTTTGGACAGCGTTTCTGTCATCCTGGAGTTCGTGTTGCCAGTCCCACCGAAAATGACGTTTGTAGCACGACTGGAAGATGGAGAAGACATAGGAGAGGTTGAGCCGATCACTTGTGTGATGATCGCCTACAAACTTTACCGCGGAGGGCATCGTGATTTCCGCATCACCCCAACTTCTGGTCATAAGGTTATGTTTGCGTCTGTGCATTTCATCCAGCCGAGCGTGATCTTGTGCACCATCTTTGGAGCGATCAGTACTCGTTGGCTTTGGGCAGCAGTGAACTTAGTGCAGAATCAAAAGCGAGTTCGCACACTCTCTTTACCGACAAATGCGTTGCAAACAGGTACGCAATGCTGTATCTATGTAGGACCAGAAGGCTAAGACGTTGAAGTCGAGCTTCAACTTGTCCAGCAGTTGCACACTCAATGTATTCGTAATCCTTCGTAACCAATGCTGAGATTGTACAAAACAGGTGCGCAGCTGAGGTGAAGTTCTGTGAGCTTGCAGCAACATGCTTCAATACCTGTCTACATGTGTTCGGCTGGAAGGGGCCTCGATAGTAAAGTCAACAGCGCCATGTCTGTGCCGTCCAAACAAAAAGAAGCCCAGAAGTCGAAGGTGAAGTCAGAGCGAACATCGCACAACCTACCGTTGGTTATCTACAAGACCGTGAACAATCGATTGGTCAAAGTTGGTACAGAGCCGTTGAGCTCAACGCCTGCTGCTTCAACCGACAACAACCAGCTGGTGATTCACAAGACCATCAACAACCGATTGGTCAAGTGCCGCACTGACACGCAGTCCAAGCCTCTGAAGGAGTCCCAAGAGTTGACTAGTGCTAAACAGCGTCAGCTTGGAGCCGGTCTCAGCACTATTGCTGTCGAGTGCCTGATTGTTCACTTTGCACAAGAAGGCGCGTCCAGAAGCGAGCTGCTGCGTTGCTAACCTTTTTCACGCTCTTCCGTCAAAATCGCAAAAATCCGATTCGGACAAGTTTTGGAAGCTTTTACGTTCCTTTCAAGCTCGACAGCCGGATCGTCATTGCATTGTGGCAAAACGTTGTCGGCATGTTTCGCGTTAGTACAGTGAGTGGTCTTGCTCAGTGTTCTTGATGCTGTTGCACTGTATGCCGTAGCCTTTGTACCATGTCCAGCGTAGGGCTGTACGTTCTCCTGAGAGCCAGGTACCATGTGGGAGCTGCATGCAGTCAGTGATTGCATTTTCAGTTTTGTGGTCTTTCGGCACCATTTGTACTTCTTCTACCTTCCCGATTCGCCGGTTCGGAACAGGACTCCTGCCGCAGCTGAGACACATGCGTCGATGCTGCATCAAGCAATTACGGTGCAGGGACGTATGGAAGCTGGGGAGGCTCTATTATCGAAAAGCTTCGCCAGATCTTTTTTGACGTTGAGATTGCGAGCCCAGATGTTTGAGTACACTGTCCACCCGATGTTCATACAGTATCCGTCTGTGTTGTCTCCTGTGACTTATTTGTCTCCAGCGGTGCCGCATCTGACTGTCTATGCATCAGTCAGCAAATTGTGGCATGCTTCCATTACCAGAATGGTGCAAGGCAGACACATGCTCGATTTTTGCAGACTACTACACTTCTCTCACCAACGACACTACGTCAGTCACTGGATACATGGATCCAATGAAGATCGGTTTCGCATCCGTGTTGAGCTACTGTCTGAAATCCGCTTGCTAGTGGCATGTAGCCCGCTTCCGTTGCAGTGAGTCGGCGTGTCAAAAACTAGCTCGTACGTCCTGCTTCTGCCCCGCTTGTGCTGACCACACTTTCGTTTCCAGTGCTTTCACTGCTGCAGCAAGAATGTTGAAAAGAGTGACCTGTTGCCGGCACTATATTGGAGCTGTGCACCTTGGGTCCACGGATCGCGTCATGTTGAACAGTTCTAGTGGCTGCTTTGCATTAGGGCTCGAAGAAGGTAGTACTTACAAACAGTGAAGAGGACCGCAGATGAAGCCGCCTTATCGGTGGCGCCGCGGAGAGTACGCGTCAGGATCGTTGTCCCTCCAGCCCTCCAGACCCAACCACAGCTTTTCAAGAAACAGCGTTCGACCTGGACTGTGACTCATCCTTTACCATCGATTCGGTGAAGAGGACCTTGATCGACAAGATGTATGCGGTGCTCGGTCGCAGCCCACGTATCTCGTCGTTTCAACTACATCAAGATGGTCTTACTGTTTCATTGAGTTCCGCAGGGGCACCAAGGATGTGTGGCTTGGCCTGGTGCAACGAAGCTCCAGTCACACATCAGGATATGGTCGAGGGACACCTTGGCCACGTACTTGCATCTCCCTCGTGACGTCATGTATGCACTCTCGCTGTATATTGGTTATTCTCGAGATCAGTAACCCTAGAGTGCGATCTCCTTGAGCTGAGTTCTTTGAGCGGATTTCGAGACCTGTGACACATTGTGTGTGTGTGTGTGTGTGTTGTGTGTGTGGGGACTCCTCTCGTACATGAGGTAAGGGGCCCACAACCCAAAGTTTTGCAACAATCACTGTTTTGCCTTGCGATTTGCATCATGAACTCATGTGCTTGCAGCATGTCTTGCTCGCCACCTGTACTGAGCAGGTAGCCTGTTTTGCGCATCATTGTTTTCTGCAGTGCAGGGGAGTGCGGCATGGCTGTGGGACCGCACTCAACGAAGCTACCACAGTCATGGGATACCGAGTCTGATCAACTCGGCGTACCTGCAAAAGCTCTGCGCAGCAATCCGACACACACGGCTCAAACCGGTCACGGCACTGCCAGCCAGCAAACACTTTGTAACCAGTATCCATCCGACAGTGCTCAGTCCCACCAAAAAGTGTGACCCAGCGGCTTCCGTTACGGCGCCGTGACGCCCTTGGCGTGACCTGTATTGCGGGCAGCCCTTGCTAAAGGGGACAGTTCATGCACCCTCCGGGGTGGGTATTCTCTCTCTCTCCCGTTCAGCTCCGTTCACTATAAGGCCTTGCACGAGGAATCATGAGTGTCTGCACAGGACGGCATATGCATCTGGTAACACTAGAGTGGTCTGTGTGCGTGCCGCTACCTCCGCTTGCTAGTCTGTCCCGCCTATTCCTATTCTTTCACTCCACCCTATTCCGCCTTTGAGCAGGAGGGCATATGCACCTGACATGAGGTCTATTGCGGTAAAGCGTTCTGCAGTAAAGGTCTAATGCAATGTGACTGCACAATGTCGGACTAGATTTATGCACAAGCCAATTGCAACACACATCTTGGGCTACAGCCCTTGCCGTGACGCTCAGCCGACTCAACAAGCAGCACCACTGCCGGACACCACCACAAGCCAGCAACGCTGCGTTTGCACGCGCCCCACGACGGGGCCGTGTGTGTGTGGACTCCTCTCGTACATGAGGTAAGGGGCTCACAACCCAAAGTTTTGCAGCCATCACCGATTTGCAAAGCAGTGCAAGCAACATGCTTGCGCACCATGTCAGCAGCGCAGGGGAGTGCGGCATGGCTGTGGGACCGCATTCAACGAAGCTACCACAGTCATATACAGTCAAGGGATACCGAGTCTGATCAACTCGGCGTACTTGCAAAAGCTCTGCACAGCAATCCGACACACTTGGCCCAACAGGTCACGGCACTGCCAGCCAGCAAACACTTTGTAACCAGTATCCATCCGACAGTGCTCAGTCCCACCAAGAAGTGAGTGTGTGTGTGTGTGTGTGTGTCTGTGTCTGTGTCTGTGTCTGTGTGTGTGTGTGTGCGTGTGCGTGTGCGCGTGCGCGTGCGTGTGTGCGTGCGCGTGCGCGCGCACGTGTGTGAGTGCGTGCGTGCGTGCGTGCCCTTGTGTCTTGGCGTGTTCTTCCTAAGGAACGGGCTTTGGTGAAAGAATATACAGCTTCGTAAGACCATTGTCATGTGTATCTGCAGGGTCTTTGTGGAGCTACAAGGAGAGCAGCTCTGCTTCATGTGTGTTTCAGCGTGCATTTGTACGACTGTTGTTTGCATTCGCCTTAGCGACAACCAGGCAGGCAGACCCACAAGCGGACCGCTTCATGAGACCATTTCAATGACGGCAGTACCCAATTCGGCACTGGGTTCTGCTGGCAGCCCAGCAGAGACTTACAGTCGACATTATCTAGTCTGTAGTTGGGTTCACCGTGGAGGTTCGAAGACAGGGAACCAGCATGTGGCAGGCAGAGCATCAACCCAATCTTCCAGCACGACGTGCAGGGAACGGCTCTGCCGAGGAGGCGGGTAGGTTTTTTGTCCAGATTCGGGAGGTGATCCGAGATCCGACTCGCGCAAGTCTTCTCATTTTGACTGATTGAATTCAGCTCTGTGTTGCCCGCGGCATCGCGGCCGTTGGCCTGCACCAACTGCACGCTTTCTTTTGGGACCTGCTCGAAACCAACATGCACTTGCACATGCAGGAGGCGCTGGCGGCGTGCTTTCTTTCCAACCAATGTTTCAGCATAAATGCCAGGGGTTGCGATACCGATGACCGCAGAAATCGCTCGCGGGTTCGTCGATGTTCGCCATCGGGGCACCAATTATTTCGTTTGGCGAGAGAAGAATCCTGCTCTGCAGCCTTTGGGTTTCTCGCACCACCCTGCTACGTATCTGGGAACTGCCAACCATCGGCTGAAAAGCATTTGTTATGCATCCGTTTGTGCCGCGCCGTTGCGCACGACGGGGATTTCCACGGGGTCAGCAGTAGCATAGCCTGTCGAGAACACTTGAAGCTGAGCATACATCAAGCGGTGCTTCCTGATCTTCCTGCTGCATTACGTGACGGTTGCAACACGAGGACAGTGAGGCGTGTCCACCTCAAAATCCCATGCTTGTCCTACTTGCTGAGAAGCACGAGTGGATTCCTGAGAAGACTGACCGCCACAAAATCCGTGCAAAGATGTCAACATGACTTGAGCTATCTTGGTCTGACTTTCCCTCGAAAAGCGAAGATAGGCAATTTTGACGGAGCTCTGACCTGGACACAAGTAGCAAAAGGGGGTGTTCAAGTAGCAATTCCTTCTCTTGTGCCTCGGTGCGTCTTTCGCACTTCGCAGGCGAGCGCGGCAGCCCCTTCTGGTTTCGAAGCGCCTGTTCGACAAGATGGATCCAGACGGCAAAGGCATAGGCACCAAAGCGCGGCTTGGGGCAGCTGGAGCAACTACGGGTATGGCCCTTGGCAAAGTTGGCCAACTTGGAATCCTGCAGACGGCTTTTCGAATTCTGCTTCCTGACCACATTCAGTGCACAAGACAGCTGTCCAGGTGTTCTTTCTTAAAGCCGCAGGCGCGACACGGTGTTGTGCGAAAACCTTAAGGACTGGTATGCTGGACCCAACACGCACCGGTCCAGAGAATTCCGAGCCCATCGGCCACAAGCTCAGCACTTGGACTGCACTTGAGAACAGCGTCAACTAAGAGCTCTGGCTAGCAAAAGGGTGATTGGAGAGAAGCCTGTCATCGAACATTATCAGCGGTTAGCCACACAGCTTGGTCCATCGGTGACATCCAGCTGTGTTTGTTTCTTTTACTTTTACTCCGAGGCTAGTCGCGAAATTCTGCATTATTCTGCATGGTTGTGTTGCCGGACTCGAAGCCGCTTCAGACCTCCAAAGCACAGTTGCGAGCCCCCTGCGACTAGCACAGCAAGAGCAGTGGCTTTGGACCTCCAAAACGCAGGTGTGAGCCCCCTGCGACTCAGCACAGCAAGAGTAGTGTGTGTTCCAATGCAAGATGTCATCGAGCAATATCGAGCATGGCAGCATTCTGTCAGTGACTTCCCTGAAACTCCCGAACAAGTCTCAGCTCGTCAGTGCCGTGCTGCCGACGAGGTCTGTCGAGATCATTCCTGAGAGTGCATCTGCCGGCCTTCGCCCAGAACAGCTGTTAAGAAGAAGCCAAAGACAGTCCGAGCATCTTGGCATCGGGTCATTACCGCTGCTCCCTGCCAATGCTTCTGGCTTTCTACGTTCAGGGCCGAATGGGGCCGAGGTCGGAGAAGTAGAAGCACAAGCTGTCGTGGCGAAAGGGTCGGATTTGTAAGGACCCGTCAGCATAGCTTCGTGCCTGCTGATGATGCTGCCGCACCCGATGCGAATGATGCTGACGCGGACGACGGCGGCAGGCTGCTCGGAGGCAAAGTCGGGAGACCCACACGGTCTAGGTGCAGATAGGTGCGGCTTACGAGGCCAAGCTCCGGGTCCGCGGAGACGACAACTACGCCATCTGCAGTGGTAGAGGACGCCGATGCCGAAACCAACCCTCCGCTGCGGCCGGGCGCATTGCTCCTCGCCTTTTCAGTGGCAGCTGCCCTGATTGTACAGGCAAATTTTTCCTGTCGTCGGTCATCCCAGCTGTGTCTCGTTTTTCTGTTGTTGCTGTAATGAATATACTATTATAGTTTTTGCAACAGCCCATGCTTGCACTCGGAACGGGTGATGTTATGGTCTTACCTAGTGCCAAAATGCTGAGCGCATACTGTCGCGGTTGGCCTGGTTTTGCAGAAACGGCTGATCCAACCGCAATCCTTCATTCAAGTCTACCGAGGTCTGCACCAACCGCGGCACCGGCACCTCCTCAGCAGGAGGAGGAAGGAGAGAAGATAGAGAAGGCATGGATATGCATGGAGGAACTAGCTCAGCCTTGAACTCGTGCGTCGTGCGTTTGCTTGCAGGTTCTTTCTGAGGAGCCTAGGTCTTGGCTAACCGGAGCTGCCTGGCCGCACAAGCCACCGACATCAAACGATCTACTTGCACATTAAGACTTTTGGAACCTCTTCGAGCAGCTTACGCTCCAGAGGCTTCACAGTTCAAGTTTGAGTTCCACAGTGGTCGGAGGTCTGCAAACGGACATTGTCTGTTGTGAGTTGAAACAACTGAGCTCTACGCCGACGGTCGTGGCGTGATCAGGATTGTGTCAACCTCGACCCAGAGTTGAGCACAAACCACACCACAACAACGACTACGCCCTCTTCAAAAGCTAAAGCATGCTACAGCCCAAAGCCGCTCTTCCAGCACCTTCTCAAAGCCAAGGCTCCAGATGGCTTGGCTTACATCGAGGAACCGCCGGTTGCAGATCAAGAGGTTTGCAGAAACCCAGTTCCTTGCGAGGATTTCCTGGCGCAAACAAATGAGCCGCAAGTGGTGGAGGATTGGGAGGTCCGCCACTTAGACACAATTCCCAGAACTGGTCTCAATCCTGCAGTTTCTTTTGGACCGGGCACGCCCGAGAGATCGCTTTTATTCTTTACTCCTGCAGTGTGTCGGCGAGAGTTCGCCACGAAACCTGCTTTGTTGAGCTACGTTATGAATATGAAGTTTTCATTGGCCGATCACGGGCAAAGTGGCTCGCTGCGACAACGCGAGAGCATGCGCTGCAACTCCTCATGATGAGTTTTGCCTTGGGTTTGCTGCTCGCTGCAGTTTGTAAAAGGGGTTTCGGTCAAGGCTTACTACCGCAGTCAGCAAAAAAGGAGCAGCAGCAGCAGCAATGATGAAGACAATGACTCCATCCTCGGAACGAATAGTAAATAATAGTAGCAAGGGGTACAATGATTTTTGGTAGGCGAAACGGTTCACGCCGACTCTGATTCCTCCCAGCCCTTTCGGATGAAACGTTACTAGTAGTAATATGTAGAACAGTTCACGAAGTCCTGGGGTTGTCAGGAAATTCCATCAAAGTCTAGACAGAGCGATAGAAAATCAATCGAAGTCCTCTGCAGAATGCAATGAAGATCGTACGCTGTCCAAAAGCATGCACGTCGGCTTTTTTGACGCCAGCGTACTATTGGCACGTATTGGCATCGGCCCTGTGTGCTCCGGGCCGACGTTTCAATCTTCTCGGTGTTTGTGACCAGGACATGGCAGAGGACCTTGCCGAAGATCGCGAGCCTCCATGGTACAATGTGCCCTATTTGCTGCTCGGCATGTTGCCAGAGTGCCTCCTCCTCCTCCTCTGTGCGAGAGTACCGTGATACGTGGAGGTTGCGGTATCGGTTTCGAGAGCCGATTGCGGACACCAGCTTGGAAGGCGGCTCGGACTGAGATGATAGAGGGGGCGGGGGCGTTTACGGCATTGCAAGTTGCCACGTGGAGGTTTGCCCAGCTTGGGCCGGCGGCCTAAGCCTGCAGTGCCGCTTCGTGCTCCAGGCCCGGCGGTGCAACTTGTGGGAACAATTTAGCGGATGTGAAGCTAGGGTGTAGGTGTAGGCGTGTGTGTGTGTACATACAACATGCGGCGCACATATTGTACACAGTCCCCTCCCATGAACCCCGTGCAATGTCTGTGCCACAAATGCCAGAAACTTGTGTGTTAAAAATGTTTGCGCCTACATTTGCACACGTGGCATGAAGACTGTCTGGAGATCGCGAGCCTTCGAAAAGGTTTGCGGGTTCAGCATTACCAAGTAGAAGGCTGCGAAAGAGCGGGCTCCGCCAGCATTTTGCAAGGAAATGAGGCGATGTCAAGGGAAGCATCAGCAATGTTGATATTTGGTAGTCCTTGTACTACGAACAACATTAGGAAGGCACACTCGTAGCTAAAGTCCGCAGTATTCATACAGCGATGAGTTTGGCGGCATGCAGTATTTGACACATATTCTAGTATTAGCAGTTTTCACCGCACAAGCTGTGCTAGCAATGTGTGAAGTCTGAGTAGCCATAGTCAGGCTGGCTGCAGCATTGGTTTTTCGTCAGGTATTCAATATTACAAGTTGTACCAGTTGCAGTGTATTGTTCATCATGCTGGCGACGGTATGGATACCAACAAGATCAGCAATACTTCAGTCGCTGATATTCGTAGTATTATTTGTCAGTGAGGTGCTGTGGCTAGTTAGCTAGTTAAACCCCGGTCATAAGCCAGCTGCCGTACTGTTATCAACTGGATTGGATGGTAGGAAAGCATCGGTAGGTGTTTTTTGCTGTCAGTGTCCTTTGTCTTAGATTCCTCCATGTTCTTAGATAATGTGTTTTTGGTTTCACAGCCTGCTCTCAGATTTAGCTTCGAGAGATGTTTGTTTTTGGAAGGTTTTTTGCATCAGGAGTTAATGGGCGGAGTGAGTGGGGAGGCGTCGACGACGACGACTACTATTACCACTGCTACTACTATTACCGCTACTATTGCCACTATTATCACCACTACCACTGTCATGACTTGTAGTTTTGGTGTTGCCACAGTTGCTGCTACTACTATTTTTTCAATTGAACGCTGCGCGAGCGTGCTCTGCGCTTTGCGGGCGCCTTTGGTCTCATGCACTCGTGAAACTGCTTCTAGCATGCATCGCTCAGGTCTCTCTAATCAGCTCGAAATTGACATACTACTGCAACTGCTACTGCTACAAAAAGCTTCCTTCTCCGACACCTTGGTGTGAACAGACGCGTCCATCTGTGCACCTGTCTCAACAATTAGGCCGTACCTCAGGAAGCCGCCACCTGGAGTATCCGTCTCGTGGCGTCCCACACGGATTACTCATGTTGAAGACAGAAGGCCGTAAGGGTCATGTGCGGATGACCGCTGGTACCTGGAGCAACTTCGGTGCCGTGAGTCTTTGGGCAGCTATGATGCGGGCAATTCGCTGAAGCACAAAGTGCTGTTTTAAGCGAGGCTAGCACGCGATTCACATTCTTCCGAAGAGATGTGCTAGGCGTCGGAAGAGTGCCGAATTCCCTGAGTCTGTGACATAAGGGATCATAGAGTCTGTGACATATTACCGCCCTCACTGATCATGACCTTTTGGCCACTGCTGAGAGTATCCATGCCAGGACCACTGCTGCCACCAGTCCCAGTCGTCGTCCTGAGATGAGCGTGCCTGTCTGGCCCACTGGGACGAGGAGGATGAGGAGGGGCCATCGCGCTGCCGCTTGCCCTCTGTGTCAGCCTCCTGCATCTGTGGGCGCTTGTTAGGGGCAGCAGCAGCCAGTTTGGCCATGCGCTTGTCCTCTTCGTTCCCCTTGTCATGCTGTATCCGCATCTTCATGATGGAGTAGGCATTTTTGTCGGGTTTGACCCGGAAGACACGAGCTGGGAGTCCAGCTGATTTGGCCGTCTCATTGTAGACTGCCACTATGGTGGTGGCGATCATATTGAACTCGACCCACGAGGGGAAGTGCTGCCGAAAAGCCTTTTCGTCCCACATCTTGTTAAAGCAGGCATGGATAAGGCCATGCACTTTTGTTGGTGCGTCCAGCTCACGGTAGGCGTCACCCGCGCCTGTGGCGATGGTGACCTTCCCATCGCTTGTGAGGACCCGCCTCACCGACATGGCGGTGTCCCATGTGAGGCCGGTTTGCGTCCTTACGGACTTGATGGCAGAGAACAGCGGCGGAACTTCTCGGAGTGCTTCCATCCTGGTAGACCAAAGGGTCTGTTGTTCCTGGTTGGTGAGGCCGCCAAGAATGACCGGAGCCACCAGGATGTTGATGGAAGCTAAGGCCCGAATCCAGTCTTGATGGGACTGGGAGCTCAGCAGCTGAGCCAGCTCCTGCCGCGTGTAACGTACTGTCAGCCGTGGAGCCGGCTGTGGGACATAGCCGACGAGTTCCGCATTGGATTCCGGAGGCGCATATGCTGACGGGGGGCGGGAAGAGGGAGGAGGGGGCGTGTGGGAGCGCGGAGCGGCCTGGGTGGCGGGGGTTGGAGGAGAGACGGACTTGGGGGGGTGTGGAAGGACCGGGGGAACCGGAATCGCCGGAGGGGGGGCTGGTGCCGCCGATGAAGAAGAGGGCGGGGGGCATTGGGTGGCCACCATGGGCGGTGGGGCCTTAACCGGAAGCGCCGGGGCCGCCTTCGGTGTCTCTGCTTGGCCTGCTTTGAAGGCCGCCTTTTCAGCTGCTGAGGAAGTGAAAGGGCACGGGGGGGAGGGTGGCGGCTCAAAGCCGGCTGCTTTGTCTACACCTTTGGTCCTGGTACTGCTGGGGGGAAGAGGAATTTCCTGTGGGAGCTTGGGGGGAGGAGGAGGGGGGGGAGTGTGGGGGTCTGGCGTGGCACTGAGTGCTGGGTTGTGCTTCTGAGTGACAAAGTGGTTCTTAAGGCCGTGGCTAGTGCTGAATTGCACCTGCCTGTTGTGCTTGCGGCAGTGCAAGCAGCATAGCCACATGTCCCCCGAGACTTTCACTTGCCCTAATCCTCGAGGGATAAGCTCCAGCACATCCTGCTCTGTAAGGTCTTGATTGTAGTGGTGGGTTTCACGGACCGTAGCCATGATCTCTGCAAAGGAGTTGTACTGGATGCTGTCGGCCACATAGGCTTCAATATCCTCCTGAGTGGGAGGAGGGGGAGCCGATGAGGCGGTTGCCATGGTCTGTGACCTAGGTGGCTGTGGTGAGCTGTGCTCTTCAGGTCTGTCAGACTGGATTTCAAGGGAGATGTCAGGGAGTTGGCTCTGCAGCATGCGGTCTGTGCGTTCTTTGGTGGTTGGGTCTCCCTGAAATCCCTTCAGCCACTTCCAGCACCGGGTATATGCAACGGTCGTGTTGTTGGTAGTCACGAAGTAGTGGCCATCATTGTCGTACTTCTTGTTCTTCACTCGCTTGTCCCAGCGCTCCGAGAACAGGTAGATGGGGCCAAATTTGGTGGAAACATTCCATCCCGGCTGAGGGGAGTGACCAAGGTCGCGACCCAAGATCTGCCAAAGATATTTGCAGAAGGTCATGTATTCCAAGTTTGCCTTCGCTGTCATAACCTGACGGCTGAAGGCGTGCTGTATGGCTTCCCTCATCAAGGGGTGTCTGGGCTTGCCATAGATGATGCCTTGAAAAATATGATCTCCTTTGACTCCTATGGCCATGACCATGAACTCCTGTGGGAGTTGGCCAGGTGGGGAGGGTCTGTGACCCACTTCACCTGCCTTCTTTGAGTGAGCTGTGCTCCAATCTGCTGCGAGATACACGAGTACCTGTTCCCAAGGTACCACGAAGCCACATTTGATGTCGACGTAGAGGCCGCCGTGCTGGTAGTGGTAGACGTAGCGGAACACGTCTGCTCGATGAGCAGGTTGGCTGAGGCGATCCAGCAGATTGGATCCGTACTTTCCTGCGAGTTGCCGCAGGGTAGCCCGAAGAACATCATCATCACAGAATCTGCGGGTGAAGCCCGCAAACATTTTGGCCGCGACTTGGGCCGGTTCCGGCTTTTCGTCGTGAACGTAGGTCTGGAAGAGGAGGGCTGGGACAGGGGCGGCTTCCCACTCTGGGAGATGTGTGAAGCGCATTCCCCAGGGGCCATGTCCGTATTGCATGGCTACCTCTGAAAGATCACGGACCGTTCGGCATTGTGACAGAGCCTGGGCAGCTAGCATTTCGACATGCATGTCCTGCTCGCGAGCGTTCCAACCAGCGACCACGAGGATAGGCAGTCCTGGGGTGTTGCGCATTTCCTCGATGGCTCTGGTTACAAGCGCCGGGATGACAATGTCCGCGACGTCTGGGCGGAAGTGGAGGTTCTTGGAGTTGTAGAGCCATTCTACCCCTCCTACACCAGGCATCTGGGCCAGGTCCATGATTTCCTGGTTGTGCAGGTTCTTGTCCGCAAAGCCATATTGGACCCTGCCATCGATCAGGTAGTCATAATTGATTTGCTTCTCCGGGCGCAGGCTTCGGGACAGCGGAATGAAGCGAACGTTGATTTGTCCGTCGAGGTGGTTCTCCAAGATGGAGGCCACCGGCGGACTCTGCACTGCCGCTGTGAATTTGTGCGGCCCAAAGAGCCCAAATTGCCAGTGGAGGAGCTCCAAGATGGAGGGGACGCTGCCGGCAGAGATGTTGAGGGCGGCGCCTGGGCAGCTTAAGACCTGTCCCGTCAGCAGCGGGAACACTCCGTAAGTGTGTCCCCGCAGCATGTGCTGCAAGGTGCTATCGCTGAGCACCAGAAAAGGGCCCAGACTGGGAGGTTTGTCCATGGTCTCAGCTGTAGCTGATGGGCCAGAGTCTGTGACACGCGGCCAAGTGGTGAGCTGTGCTCTTCGCAAAGACGCAGTTTGTTACGAGAGGTAGCTTCTGCAAGGCGTGTCTGTAATGCATGTTGCGATACTCCTGCCGCTCTGTCCGGTAGCAACAGTTCGAACTGACAGCTGCGGTATACATTTAATGCTTTGCAGAGTCTCAAGACCAAGCACGAAGCACAAGCAACGCAGGACGACTATAGGCAAAGAACA